CGTTTGGATTCTTTAGCGACTTTGACACTTCTGAGATATCAACAGGATAGTGAAGGCGTGCCAAAAACAGGCGGCCCCTTTTGTTGTTGGTAATAAAAAGACTGCCATGATCAGCAACACAGACGCCTGTGGGATTTTCTAGAACTCCCTTGCAATTTCCCTTGTAAAGGCGGAACTTCTCAGAAATTATGGTTTGAACAACACGTGGAATTTTTCCGATGATGTCTCTCACCGATGGTTTAGCTATGACAAGCAAATCTTCAACTGACATTCTATCACGATTTCGGATGGCGCCGAGTGTTGTTGCTTGGTGCATCTGACGTCTAATGGTTTCATCTACATCATTGTAAAGCACGCGAAGATTTGACAGATTAAATCTCTCGCCATTGTGGTACAAAAACCAGTTGGCGAACCACCAGCTTTACACATTTGGAGCCATGCTCGATGCAACGGTCACAGGCGCGCAGTGGACTGTCTATAAATCTGTGTCCAATTCCATGACAATTTCGGCAAACTTCTTTGGTTTGTAAACATTCTAAAAAGAAACACTTGAAATGTAGCTACTGTATATAAAACTGCATGCTGCATAGCCGCTAAAATTAAACTACGACTTTTTCTTTTGCCCCTTTTGAATTTTGTGGGACCGCCCAGGAAATATCTCTAAAACGAAGGTGAGTTTTCAAGTTGAAAAGGACAAAACTGTTTATGTAAATCAATGTACCTGGGCAATTGCTTGAGCATGATTCTCCTAAATTGGTGATGACGCTCATGTCTGTTGGAATGTATTGCATTAGACATCGAAGGCAGATCTGCAGCTGTTTAACCCATTTCATTATCGTATCAGCCTTATCTTCTCCAGAAACACATTTTCCACTGTATTCTAATCCAATAGGAAGGGATAATCGATTATCAAGTGAGGTGACAATTTGACAGTTAACTTCAGTAACGAATGCTCTCTTAAGGGTCTCTGGTTTAGGAGACGGATTCACCTTGACGTAGTTAAGATCAACTGGGAAAAGGAGTCCTACCAGGTTTTTTACGCGTGTATCAAACTGCAGGCCAGGTTTAATAGCAATTCCATCCGTAGCTAAACTAACTGGAATGGTGAAAAGAATTGGCGAATCCACTAAAGGGACTACATTGCTTTCTCCCAGCTGTGCAAGCAAGAGAAAGATTATCAAAAGACTTTTGATAATGCCACTCTTAGTCGTATAGCCCGCCTTTCCTTTGTTTATGGTTGATTTAGATGGTACAAAAGGAAGGTTCCAATCTTTCCATTGGAAATTATACGTCCCACCTTTGTGCTGTCCTTTGAAACCTGGACCGCGCAACAAATTAATTACTCTGTCCTTGCCGTGGAATGCGAGGGTTTGGGTGAATAGGGTAACGTCATTGTTGTGGCGAAACTGCTTCCAAGGGTCGCCGGACTTTTGAGCAAACTCTAAAGCGTTTTCAAGCATCTTATAAAATATATGACTTCTCGGAAGGCTTCCACTTTGAATTTCTCTTTGCAGTGCAACAACAACCGGATCTAACTCCTCTAACGATCTGTAGAAAGAAATTATGATGACAGAAATTATAAAACGGTATTAGACGAAACAGCAAGCAACGCGCACTCACATAAAGCCAATGTCGTCAGTATCATTCTCCTCATCAGTTACATCCTCATCAATAAATTAATTTGATATATCTTCGTCCAGTTCCTCACTCAACGCATCTTGTCTTAAAAATTAAAGAACATTAAACAGATAAAAGCCATAAAACACAGCATGTCACTATTTAGTACATAAGTCATTTAATAGTGAAGGCTATAATTAATCAATTTTACTTCTTTTTAATTTCAAATCTCGTCAATAATCACATTTACAGTCTTTACTAAGCATTTATTTTGTACCACAACAAAAAACAAGTTAGTCCAAAGTGGTTCCGGAAAATTTAAATCGGCCGCTGTTGAAACGTCTCTTACGTTGCCTTGAACATTTGCATTCTCGAGAAAATGTCCCGTATGTCTCCACTTTTCACAGGCTTACAACTATTCCAGTGATCTGAAAAGGAAACATAAATGTTCTAAACAATGACATCATTAATTATATTTATTGGGTGCAGTGAAAGATGGAGTGCCCCAATGGAATGCCCTTGACATACTTACTATCCTTAAAATGCTGATGATATCTTAAGCGGTTGGTCGTTCGAATGCTACCACACTTTCCACACTTTACATGGATCTCAGTTATGGCATGTGAACCAGGAAAACCAATTTCTATGTCTGCAGAATAAAATCAAATATTAAAGGTCTTTAAAACTGGCAGATTTAAAACAAATATTTAAGAAACTAGGACGGTCGTAGTGTGCATCAATTGATCTTTGAAGAGAATAGAAAGTTTCAAGCAACAGGAGTGGTTAGTTCCCGAGATATGTCAATTTTTGTTGAATATTACCGTACCGGCCTGTGCGTAACCTAGCACTTCCGGCCAAATCTCATGCATCGTCTTTGACGTCACACCGGGAATGAAACAACATGATACAACAGAAGCAGCAAATGACTCCGCTAGTGAATTTATTTCAGACAATTCATGGGATAGTAGTAATCAATGGCTTTGCTTCAGAAGCTTTGCTTCACAATTTATTTCCAAGTTTATACTTGTTCATTCCTGGCCGTTTCTACTGTAGAGCCATAGAATGGATAATTATGATGGTTTTACTAACAGTAAAAACATATCAGGTCTAACAAATTGGTATTTTCTGCCGGCTGAGGTACGAAATAGGCAGAAAATGTATTTCTCACACATGCCAGGGGACTGGGGATAGTGGGGGAGGCTTCGGCTAAGGTCAGTTTTTGTTGTTGCCGTGCAAGTCTGAACCTCTCCCACCCACCTACCCAGACAGTTATCTGACAGTTATATGTGTTATTTGAGTTTATTGTCAGTTGTGATTAAAGGTCAGGCACCGCATGGTGGCTGCATCCCACGGGTTGTTGGTGGCTGCATCCCATGGCAGTTGTGTGAGAAATAGCAATTTATAACAGACATAATTAAGATGCATACATAGAGTATAAAAACTATTTTACTTCTCACCTTTTTGAAACTTTTTAAATAGTTGTTGTTGTTCCGGAAGTCTTTCATATGTAAAATCTTCAACCCTACCAGTGCCACCAGTGTACGCACGAAGTCGCTTGAGGAGTTCTTCATCTTTCACAACACGTTTATCACGTTTGTAGGGTCCTCGTGAAACTGTACCAGACTTATTCCTCAGGTCTTTACTTAATTTGTTGCATCTGTATTTGATTTCAAGCAACCGTACTAAAACAGAAGATGTATGTTAACAAACATTGACAACATTGTGACATTGTAACAATCAAACAGGTACCACATAAACATGTGACATTTGGTCATTCTAAATTGGGCAATTAAATGTTTATTGCAATCGACAATAATAATTTAATACCCATTTTCACCTCAGTTTTGTGTGTGCTAATTCATATTCATTTGTGAACTTGCACTTGCCTATAAGAGCACAATGCCCCATTTGACTACGGGCACCATAAAGCTTTGTGTGCAGATTTTCCCACTCCATTTGGCTACTGGCAATGTATGTCTTTCCAGCAGTAGAGTTAGTAGATGCAACATCACCATCACGAGTGACATGTATTCCCACTTCTATTTGAAAATCCCCAATCTGCCACCTTTTAGCATCATTTACCAATCCATAATTTTTGCGCAGATCTGACTTGAGGGAATTTAAATCTCTGTGGCTCCCATGCAGAGATACAAGAGTGTTTCTAGATCCAGAATGTCTATTATGACCAAACTTGTAAACTTCAATACTAGCATCACATGTCAGATATGTATCATTTGTCTGACTGGCACTAGTGTCACAACCAATATGTTTATCTGCAGAGAAGTCAGGTTTGCTGCACCCAAACTGGGTGATAGTTTTTTGCCAAAAGTTATTACTCTTGCTTACTTTGGCCACCTCAGACACGTCAGTTATACAATTGTCAGAATGTCCAGAATAAGAGTTTGAGACGTTTGAGCAGCTAATTTTAGAGACTGTAGAGTCTGTAGATGATCCACTTGAATAAGGAGAGGTTTCTCTTTTACTTTTCTTTTGGTTAGGATGTTTTGATTTGTCATGTTGGTGGTGTCGTTTTCTTCGTTTTAGTTGCTCTAAAAATATTAATATTATTTTACATCTTTATTCTTAAACTTGAAAATTGCTGATTAAAATTTATATAAAACTCTGCAAAATGCAAGCTAGATTACCAGAAGCTGAATTAAGGTACTTTCTTGTAAAACTTGGGAAATTCCTGACTCATTCACATCAATAACATTAAATGATTAATGTATTAATGACATTTTAGTACAGGCACAGCTATATTTTTATGCATTTATATAATAACACTAAATTCACGTTTCCACTGTCTTAAATTGACTATGTGTGTGCCTGAATGTGTTATGTGTGGAATGTATGGGATTGGTGATATATATTTGTACAACGCATGCATAGAAGTCATAGAAGACTCAAAACTCTGTACGTACCAGGGCTGTCATCGCTGACATCTCTCTTGAGTCTCTTCACTCTCTGGTACTTCTTCAGTTTCTTCGACTTCTTTCTTTCTTCTCTGTCTTCTCCACCCTCTTTGTCTTTCTTGTGGCGCTTGTGTCGCTTGTGCTTAGCCATTTCAATGCAACGCTTAGCATGCAAATTAAAATGGCGGCTAAATTTGCCAAAAGTCCGCAAAATTGCGCGGGCGCTGGGAGCGTGATCATTATCGTAAATAACCGTAAATTGCCGTTGGGCGCTGGCCCGCTGGGCCGGATAGACCGGATACTGTCGACATTTTCGTTGATATCTTGTGGGCAGAGACGTCGCTGTCGAAACTTTAATAAAACACAATTCGCTGTCATTATTTCGGTACTCTTGATTCGCTGTCGCAATTTTACTCGACTTTGGTTTCGTTTGTCGCCATTTCAGCTCTTGTGTGTCGCCGATTCAACGCAATGCCGCCTGTCGGAATTTACCCTAACAGGGCCTCATATGTCGGACGTAAATCGCAGAAATTCAAATATTTTTACAAGAACGCTAACTGGGTACAATTAAGAGAAACATTATCTCGTATTCCTTGGAATTGTGCTCTTCTTGATAATAGTATAGATAACAACTGGGATGCTTGGACAGATCTATTATTTACTGCCATAGATGACCACATACCAAAGAGGAGAGTCAGGCACGTAAAAAGCTCACCATGGATAACCAAAGAACTATTAACCTTGTGTAAACGAAAAAGAGCCCTGTATAAGAAAGCAAAACGGCTAGACAGATCAGTTCATTGGGATGCATATAGAAAATTAAACAATTCTCTGAAAAAAGCATGCAAAGCTGCTAAGCAGGATTATATAACAGAGTTAGCGAAAGAACTTAATGAAAATATGAATCCCAAACCTTTTGGAATTATGTCAAATCAAAACGTAAAGGGACAAACGTATTAGTTTCGATAGACATTGATGGAACAACTATTACAGATGACCTAAGGATAGCGGAGAGCATGAACCAATTTTTTTCATCGGTATTTACAACGGAAAATTTTGATAATTTTCCTGAATTTGACAATGTCTGTGAACAGAAACTTTCCCACATTCAATGCTCAACCAAAGAAATAGAACATCACCTAAAAGATTTGAATATATACAAATCCCCAGGGCCAGACCTAATATCACCAAGAGTCTTACGAGAATGTGCATCGGAATTATCATCGCCTTTATGCACATTGTTAAACAAATCCTTTTCTACAGGTCAACTGCCTTCTGGTTGGAGACTTGCAAATATTACTCCATTATATAAGAAAGGCAATAAAAATATCAGAAATGACTACCGTCAAATTTCTCTCACTTCGATCATAGTTAAAATAATAGGAGAATAGGTTATTAAAAACCGAGTTGAATTTTGGCAGCAGCTGAATGTGATCCATCCAAATCAATATGCATATTTGCGAGGAAACTCCACCCTCACGCAGCTATTGTCTTGCTTTGATGATTGGGCGAAGTCGCGAAACAGATCCAAACCCACTGATGTGGTCTTGCTAGACTTCTCTAAGGCATTTGATAGCGTACCTCATGAAAGATTATTACTTAAGCTAAAATGCTATGGTATCGATGATTCGTTCCTGCTTTGGTTCAGAAACTTTTTCATCAATCGTAAGCAACGAGTCGTAATCCGTGGCACCTATTCATTGTGGGCTCAAGTCAAATCCGGAGTACCACAAGGAACTATATTAGGACCTATTTTGTTCCTAATTTACGTGAATGATATATCAACAAGAGTTGCATCACAAATCAAGTTATATGCAGACAATACCAAATTATACCGGGAAATCAGTGACAAAACATGGGATGTACAAATATTACAGTCAGACCTGACGTACCTCCACGAGTGGTCTATTTTATGGCAATTACCTTTTAACACGGATAAGTGTGAAGTGATTCGAATTACCCACGCACGGGACAAATCTGTCCTATCCTATTCACTATCTGGAACTTACCTTAAATCAGTCGAGGAGGTTAAAGACCTCGGTGTAACAATCACAAAAAATCTCTCATGGAGTCAACATGTAGCGATAACAGTTAACAAAGCAAATAAAGTACTGGGCATTATTAAACGAACAGTTGGTCCAGTGGATAAATCGGTGTTTTCAATGCTGTATAAGTCACTTGTGAGACCTATACTGGAATATGCTGTACCGGTATGGTCTCCCTATCTAGTTAAAGACATACAAGCGCTTGAAAAAGTTCAAAGAAGAGCATCCAGAATCGCACTCCGGCAGAAAAGACAAGATATGAGCTATGAAGATAGAATTAAAATACTAAAATGGTCAACTCTAGAGAAATGTAGACTTTATTTATCACTAATTGAGTGTTATAAGATAGTTTTTAACATCAGCAACTTAGACTTTAACACTTTTTTCGAACTTGGGTCCAAACGCACAAGAGCGAATCACGGCTACAAACTATATGTCAAGCTTGCAAAATGTAATTCTTACAAAAATTCATTTTTTGTAAGAATAATTGACGACTGGAACAACTTGCCTAAAGATGTAGTAGAGGCAGGAAATTTGAATACATTTAAACATAGGTTAAAGTTATTTATGAATATTTTTTAGTTATATAGTCCATGTATGTAATATGTTAGCATGTTAGTATGTTAGGAAATCGTTAAAATAGGGTTAACCTCTCGATTTTCCTTTCAAGGTGTGACAGAATGTTATTTCTTTAATTCCTTGAATAAATTATGTATGTATGTATGTATTTGTGAATATGAAGACAGTACTAATGGTGCTTTTACAAATGAAGAAATTAATTTGCATTTTGTGTTATCAGATGGATATTAGTATCTGATTGAAATTAGTTTCTTCGTTTTTTAATATGGCATGAAGGGAAGAAGATATTGAGTTGTGTAATTCAATGTTATACAGAAATTCACGAGGAAAAAATTATGCTAGAAACTTATTTTACATAAAAAGCATAAAAAAGGGGGGGGGGAAATAAAAAAAGAATCAATTGTTGAAGCCACAAGCACGGATCTAATTCCTCCGAGTAATTTGAATCAAGAAACAACTTTAAAACGAAATTCAGGAAAACAACAGAAAAGAAAATCCCGAATCGACGCAAAAGTGTTAAAAACAATTTTTGGTGGAGATTAAGAAATGGTTTATCATCGAAGGAGATTACATCGATATCGACAGATGGGAGAAGGGATTTTCCGGGGAAAAAAACATCAACGTGGAAAGAAATAGCAAAGAGGGGGAAGAAAAAAAAACAGATAGGGAAAGGATTTGGTGGGGGAATGGCCGCAGGTTTATTAATTCCTAATTTAACATCAACTTTAGGGAATGTTTTAAAAGTGAACATTTAAGTAAAAAATTTGTAAGCGATTAAGAAAAAAATATATTATTACTTTACTTTTTGTCTGCATTTCATTTTATTTGTGTCATCATGGTGAAACGAAGTGCCGAGGAAGCGGGATTGAGAGACCCCGATCAAACAATTGAAAAACATGATAATGTTTATGCAACAGGGATTGAGTTGTACAGAAATTTTCCTGTTGATAAAACATTTGTAGAAAATCATCATGAAATTATTAATGCCACCCCTGTTGACCCGCTTGCCGACGTTTACACATTCTGTCACTCAGCAACACCATCCGGATTAATTTTAATAAACAAAGTACGAATTTCCGCTGATTGTCAATTGATGAATCATGTCACGAATAATGCTGTGGCTGCAGCAGCTGATTCACGATGTTTATTAAAATCCCCATGTTTTTTACGCACCATGTGGAAAACGAAGGAGATTAAAATAAATCATAATCTAATTAACTTGTCAAGTAATTACGAGGGGTTACATGCATACCTTGAATGGTTAATGACTGAAACGCCGAACACTTATAATGATGGTCAGCAAATTAATCTCGCATACAGAGATACAGCGGGTGCTTTTAATTACGCTGATCACGGTGATCGAGTTCTTTCTCACAACCTTGCTGATGCCCTTGGAAATTATGGTGCTAAACGAAGACATTATTTTGCAACAAGACCAAGAGCGTCATTTTATGCAGAGGATATTCTTGCTTGCCCCGTTTTTAATGATAATGGTCGTGATCGATATTTACCTACAAGTTTTGACATTGAAATTCAATTAACAAGAGCTGCAAATAATCTCATTTTGGCTGCTGCTGATGGTGGGGGGCCTGGTGCTGCAACAGCGGCAACGTGGCGTCTACACTTATCTAATTTACGATTAACATCCCCAATTTTTAAACCAAATGAACAAATGCGAACAGCAATAAATAACACGATGGTTGATAAAGCTGAAGAGTGTAAATATTACACCTCCGGAATAAGGAAGCGTTGTTCGAACGATTAGTGCCGGCATTCAAAATTATCAAGCAACCGATATGTTTAATGGAAAAACACCTTCACGTTTGTTTATTCTATTGATTGATCAAAGAGATTTTGAAGGTGATTTTGCACAAAGCCCAAATAATTTTATATGGGGAAATTTAAATTTTGCTTCTGTTAAAGAAAATGGAAATGTTGTATATCCTGAACTTAAGAATTCGAAACAAGCATACAATTTGTTGCGTGATAATCTCGGAAAACAATTTGGCGAAATGCCTTTTCCTTACGAGGATTATGAAAATGGATATTCGGTGATATTGTTTGACTTAACACCAAATCGAAATAGTCATTTAAAAACTCTTCCATTGAATACAACTGGAAATGTTTCGGTTGATTTACGTTTTTCTCAAGATGTTGCAAATAATTTGCGTGTTGTATTTATTGGAGATTTTCGAAACCAAATTCACATTTCGTATCAACAGGAGCCTCAAAGACTATATACATTTTAAAAAAATGAGAAAAAAAAATTCAAGCCACAACCAAAAAATCACCAATGTGAATATTTAAAATCAAAAAGATATTGTATTCATTATCCATTTGGTGTCGTTATTGATGGTGTTAGGTTTAAACGCCCGATTATACATAAAAAAAATTCCAATTTCGCTTTATGCGTAAGTAATGGAAAGCAAAAGTAAGAAAAATGAACAAAAAGAAGAAACGAAAAATGCGGAAAATGAAGAAGGAACCCCCCCAATCAGAAATTGAATTTAATTTTGATCAAGAGAATAATTATGATGCTGGTAATAATGATGATGAATTCATTTATGAATTTGATGATGAAGAAATTAGCACACCTGAATCAATTGGAAATATTGGGGATGATGAAATGAGCAGTGATTAAGAGGAAATTGATACAGATACATTACTTAACATTCTTATGAGATTTAATAAAATTAAAAACAAACATAAAAAAAACGAAAATAAGTCTTTTTTATTCAATTTGAAACCTTTTTTTTCGTGTTGATATGAAAACAAAATATAAGCTATACGATAATAATATAAAAAGGAAATTAATGTATCTTGCTACGAATATTGTTAATGAAAAAATTAGTATAAATTTAACTGATACGGAGAAACATTTGCTTAAAAGAGTGGTAAAAGACAAATTTAGTTCAGAAGATTTGAAGATCTTATTTATTGAAGATTTTGCGTTAAATTCATGTTTTAGTAGAGCCATAAAGTTAATTGAACGTGAGAAAAACAAAAATGAATAAATCCTTAACTCTCATTGACTCGTCTAAATTTAATGACTTATTTGAATGCTTTTGAAGAGGAAAGAAAGGAAAAAAAATTATTACACGAAATTGTTGAACCGAAATTGCAACAAATGTTGATGGCGAATGAAAAAATGAAGCAGGGTGATATTTCAGATTGTGAAAATGCTGTTATTCAGTTTTTGAGAAAAAAGGAGAAATTTTTGGAAGGAAAAAAAGGGAAAAAAATAACATAACTCCCCCCATTAACAATGAAAAAGAGGAAGAAAAAGATGGAGATGAAAAACAACTGCAATTTGATAATAGAGATGCTGAAAAAATTGCTAAATTTATTAAACATAAAAAAATCATAATAACCGAACGAATGCAATCTGATTTGGTTCATGATTTATTACACCAAAGAGCAATGCAAAATTTAAATCTGGGTGAGCGAAGTCTTAATTTTGCCCTAACAAAGTTAAAAAAAAGTAAAATGCCTGTGTCATATATAAAAAATAGAGGAATAAGAACCATGTACAAGAATATGATTGATGGCAGTGCTAGTGAAAGCAGTGATGAATTTACATCGCGTATTCCAAGATCAAGACGCGGATCACCATTATTAGAAGCTGATGCAGCACTGAAAAAATCAGATGATTTAATAAGAGTGCTGAGAAATTACGAAGAGCTAAAGACTATCCCTATTCACGTGTAGAAAGACGAAAATTATATAAAGAAGTAATGTTTATGTTTCAAGAATTTTTTTTTGGGAAAATATTTACAAATAGTAGTAGTAATAACTTATAAAGTAAAACATTTTGAAAAACACCCAGGTAATTTTGGAGAAAAAGGAAACAAAAAGGGTTGGAGTTTAAAGTTTATAAATTCTTTGCTTTAAAAGGAAAGTTGTACAAACATGACACAAAAAGGTGGAATATTACCATTGTTATTAATAAAACAAATGGGAATGGGTGTAAAAAGAAAGCAAAAAGGTTTAAGCGGGTCGGCTTCAAGGAGATTGACGAATAAAATAAAACAAAGAGGTGGGATAATTAATGATTGGCCAATTTTTGGAAATCCTGGTCCCTTTCCCAATTATAATAGAATTCAATGAATTAAACGACGAAAAAAATTAGCACACTTTGCAAAAACACAAAAAGGTGGTTTCGGAAAAAAAAATTGTTGAAAAAGGAAAAAAATATATAAAACAAAAAGGGGTTGTTGGATCCTTGGCAATGATGGCTCCAATGTTGGCAATGCCTCTTCTTTCTTCATTAATGGGGAAGTAATGAAGTTTAACGCGATCTGTTTTGTTAGCAAGTATTTGATGACCGATGACATTGATAAACTTGGAAAAAAATCTTCTGGGTGCATATCCTGCTGATATTTTACCATTTAGTGAATTAAATAAAAAATGTTCATGGATATGGAATACAGATACAGCTAATAAACCAGGTCAACATTGGGTTGCAGTAAAAATAAAGGCGGGCAAAATGTTTTTTTTTGACAGTTTTGGAATAAAAGCAGAAAAATACCAACAATTTTGGAATACATTCGCAAAGGAAAATAATTTACAATTGATTCACGTTAATAACAAATTTATTCAAAACATGTTTACTGTAACATGCGGGATGTGGAGTTTATTATATCTTTGGAATGAATCGTTATTTCTGGAGGATAATGAAATATTTTTTGGTGTGAAGGGTAAAATTAAAAAAAAAGAATGAAAATTGAAATGAAATTATTTGAAATATCCAAAAACAATTTTGACATTAAATCATTATATGAAAAAAAATGTAAAAAAGTAGAAAATAGTCAGAAATGTAAAACTTTTATTTCATTAATAAAAAAAATTAAATTTATACAATGTTGTGTCTTCATTTGGCATTATTTTTGTGCGACATCGTGCATTTGCATAGCTGTCAGGTTTCCCATCAAAAAACAAATACGAATTCTTTTTATCTTTAATGTCATTATATATTTCATCGAATCTTCTTTTTTCAATTTCTT